AGTCATCCAGGAACAGACGAACAATATAGGGCTCAAGGGGCAGCCCTGCTTCACCCCTGAGGTGGCCTGAAATGTGGGTGTGTACCCACCAGGCACCCGCACGCACATGGGAACCGTCGCATAAAGGGCCTGCACCGCCCGCAGCGCCCAGCCACCCAGGCCGGCGCTCTCCAGCTTCTGCCACAGCAGATGCCGCGGGACCCTATCAAAGGCCTGCTTGAAGTCCACATAGCAGGCATACAACGGCTGCCCACGCGCCCGCTGCCGCTCAATGATGGCTCGCAGTGCAAGCTGCTGGTCACGGCAACCGTACCCTGGCCGGAACCCCGCCTGGCCAGATGCCTGCCTGTCTGTCGATCGCTTTTGCCGTCTCGTTTAATACATATATACAAGAGGCTCATCAACATGTCAACAAAAATCACGCACGCTTATGAATCACAAGGCCCAAATTGCAGCAGACAAACTCATAGGCAATGCCACACTGCCTATCAATTTGACGGGCAAGAACGTGGGGAGCCGCGCGTGGGGCTGAGGCGCAGCCAGCAGGCGAGCCAATGCAGAAATGAATTAGTAAGCACACAACGGTGTTGTTCGCGGTAGTGTCAGAATGAAAGCAGCTCTGGTGCTGCGACAATTGTGCACCCTGTTGGCAACGTTGGGGCTGCGCCATGGCCGTCAGCAAAGACATGTGCAGGCCTGGCTTAGCCGAGGCCTTTGCCGCAGGCTACTGGCAGGTGGTGGCGATGCCTCCTGAAGCTCTACTTGTCGTCGCCGTGCTCCCAGTCGGTGTTGGGCTTGCGGCCATCTGGGTAGCCCTCGCACGCCGAGTCGCCCTCGACGCCGATGCAGTCCTGCGCGCAGGCACAGTGAGGTGAATGGGGAAGAGGATCCAACGCGCCATGCCATCAGCATTGGCACGCCACTGAGCTGCCACACTGCCGTGTCCCTCACCATGTCATACTCCTCCACCGACTCCTTGTGGTCAAAGGAGCCGCACACGCGGTACCACACAGGGGCGACGAGCCAGTTCTGCGGGGGACGAAAGGGCCGAGCAGATTGGCGTGCCGCTGAGCAGAGCACATGAAACAGGAGACTGCCAGGCCAGGCCAGTGGAGAGGGCACGCATTTTGGATAGCCTACTGGAAGGAGCGCCGCCGCCCTGGCACGGTGCTCGCCACCCACCTGGCAGCCCTCCAGGCCCCAGAGCTCCTTGCACGCATGGGTTTCCACGTCGATGAGGTACCCGCTGCCATCCTGCAGGTCACAGCGGTGAGCATGCGGATCTATCGGCAAGGGGCCAGCAAGAGCAGCAAGAGGGCAGCGCTGAAGATAAGAAGGCGCAGGCAACCGCCAGCTCCTGCTGTCAACCCTTACCTCATCTGTGTACGTCTTCTTGTTCGTTGAGCAGCGCCAATCCAAGCCAATTCCTTCGGGAACGCCTAATAGAATCCGCCAAGGCTTCGGCACAGGCCTCCCCGGGACCCATTCACTACTAGTGGGGGGTACTGCACTTGGCGCGTCGGGCAGATCAAATAATGGTCTAAAGCTAGACGTTAAAACCGGGAAGTGAAGCTTGTGGAGGCTCTTCCCCACCTTTACCTTTACCTTTAGCACTCGCTGTTGTCTTCAGCGCAGTCCTTGTCATTGCTGAATTAAATGAACGCAAGAAGAAAATGAAGAGTCATGTGATGAAGAGTCATCTGACGAAGATGACGGATTCAGCTGACTGCAGTACAGCCAACACTCAGGCCAGTCCTGCTCACCAGAAGTCCCAGACCTCCAAGCGCCCAACCTTGCCCTCCAGTGCCACCTGTGGCGCAGGCAATAGGTGACGAGGAACAAGTTGGGCGAAGCAAAAAGCCCAACTGCTGCCAGAGGGCCCTCCCGGGCTGCCGCTCTTGCAGATGACAGCTGCGGATAGCTACCAAGGGATGCCGACGGCAGCTCACCTCGACATACTTGTAGCGGTCCCCCCAATCGCTCCAGTCCACGGCCAAAACGTTGTGATTACGGAAGAACTTGCCGCTGCATTGGGGAGCAGAGCAGGCGGATGGATTTTGGCACCAGCGCACAGCGCGCACAGACGGCCATCATTGCCACCGCGGCCACGTCGGCAGGCGCAGCAGCTCTCACGGCACAATCCACTCGCCCAGGTCGTTGGGGGTCATCGGCTTGTCGCCCTTGTCCGTGCCGTCGGTGGAGTAGCCTGCTCAACGAGCAACAAAAACAAACAAGTAAACAGGGAGTGTGGTGTCAGCAGGTTGTAGTTGTGTGAGGGGGGCTGAGAAGTGGGCGGCAAATTTGATGCAGAAGCTCACCAGTGGCGGTGCCGACCTTCCATTCCCCGCATTCCTCGTCGCCACCCTCATCGGGCTTGTCACCCAGATCGAACTTGGGTGTGTTGCTGTCACTGTCGGTGTGGTCCCGAAGGCTCCGCCTCATGACAGAGTGCTCAAAGGCTGCACGGGCAGAGAGGGAGGCCGACAGATGGTAAACAGAGGCGCTAGGGAAAATTGTGACACTGGGGAGCTGACAGGGACAGTCAGGCCAAAAGTTGTAGGGACGAGCGCCGCTGCCAGCTCAGGCGGCGGCAGGGAGGGGGGGCCCCCTTTCAGCCCGACCGAGGGCTGCAGGGCCGAGCCCCGCGGCGGGGAATCTATGATTATGATACAGGTAGGAGGCTCCTGGGCAGGCTGTGGCCCGCCGCAGCGCAGATATGACTGCGTCCCTGTTGCAAGAGGGGCACGAAGCATGCCGGCAGGCATGCCACCCCACCCCCCGCACGCAAATCCCCCATCGGCGCAGAGCGAATGATCACCTGCACCGGCATTCTTCCTTGGGCGAGTGCAGGCCGCGGAGCGGGCCTGTGCGAGCGGGGCAACACTGGCGATGGCCACCAGCAGGGCCAGAACGGTTGCAGCCTTGACCATCATGACGCAGGTTGTCAGGGATGGCAAAGAACTGATGATATAAGCAGGAGGGAGCTCCTTTCATGCATCCCAGAGGCCGCATCATTATCACTTTGGCCCTGTCACGGATCGGGGCGCCAGCTTATTATTGGCGACTGCATATCCTTCATCGGAACAGTCTGAGGCCCCCGGGAGCGACTGCAGCGCGATAGCAATGCATTCACTACAAGGTGAAGTGTGGCGGCGGTTGTCGGCGGCGGTACACAGGTAGCGGCATCGCGGCAACTGCCGTGCGCATGCTGCACAGCCCAGGGATGCCATGGGGGACGAGCAGTGTGATGCATGCGTGCATAGCAATGCCTGCCATCCGCATGCCGGCCTACTTCTCGCTGCATTGCATTCACATTTGGCGGCTCGGGGCGGAACAAGCTTGCGGTAACGCATGTCAGTAGACCGAGTGTTTTCCCTGTGTTAGACCATGTGCCTCACCTGATGCAACAGTTTGATTTGCACCAGGCGGCCAGAAGCAGGTCTGATAGCTGCGGAAAGGTCTCGCGCGAGCCGGTGACGGCGGCAGCGAGCAGCAGGTGGGGACAGCAACAGACAGTGAGCAGGCACGCAGCTAGGCCAGAATGAGGCGGTGGCACCAAGTGACTTCTCTCATGTTGATGAGCCACAGGGAGGCCCCCTTTGGGCACAGGCGGCGCGGTCAAGACCTGCGGTACGGCGGGACACAACACCAGCTTACAAGGCCCTGCGTTTTGTCGCGAATCTTTTGACACCATTTCTGCCGCCACAGGAGTCACCGTTCAACGCAAAGGAGACGACGCACGCACCTCCCCGTCTGTCAGCTATGTCGGGCTGGTTTCGCCGAGGGGCTGCCCCGGCTGGCGGAGCAGCTGGGGCATCCGCCGATGGACTGGGGCCTTCCCCAGCCTCGGGAGTCCCGCTGGAGCTGATCAAGTGGGATGAAGCCACCAGTCGTTTCTGTCTGGGCCAGCAGGCGCTGGACGTCCTGAAGAGGACCAGGGGACCGGTGGGGGTTGTGGCGGTGTGCGGCAGGGCGAGGCAGGTGGGCCGCGCAGCCCACGGGGCACCTGCCGCCCGCCGCCAAACGCAACACCGAGTCCGAGCGTGTTGCCACGGCAAGGGCTGCCTGCCTGAAGGTCAACCTTCCTTCTGTTTGCAGGGCAAGTCGTTCATTCTGAACCAGCTGCTGGGCCGCAGCGGCGGCTTCCAAGTGGCGCCCACACACCGCCCCTGCACCAAGGGTGGGTAGCGGCGGTTGCGCGGCGTGTGCCGCTGCTCCCCTGTCGTGCGTGCATGAACCATGGCCCGCCAGTCTCCGCCCAGACGGCTGCCACAGCCCCACCACTGACGCCCCATTGCACCGAGGTGTCCATCCCTGGCGTCGTCACGCGCCCAGCGCCTCATCCGCCTCCACCCCAACCGCCCCACGCCTCAACCGACGCCCCCTGCAGGCCTGTGGATGTGGTCGGCCCCCGTGGAGCGGCGCGGCCCCGACGGCAGCAAGTACAGCCTGGTACTGCTGGACACAGAGGGCATCGACGCGTACGACCAGGCACGCCCGCCTCCCGCCTCGCCGTGTGCCCCAGCGGCCGCCGCCGGCCAGCCAACGGCGGCGGCGGTGCTGCTGCCAGGCACCGTGGTGCCTGTGGAGAGCCAGCCGCCATGCGCCCTGACCCGCTGGTGCCCTGACCCGATTGTTTTCCCCCACCGCCCTCGCTGCCGCCACGCAGACGGGCCAGTACAGCACCCAGATCTTCTCGCTGGCGGTACTGCTGTCCAGCCTGTTTGTGTTCAACCAGATGGGCGGCATCGACGAGGCCGCGCTGGACCGGCTGTCCCTGGTGACCGAGATGACCAAGCACATCCGCGTGCGCGCGGGCGGCGGCGGCGGCGCCGACGACGACAGCACCGAACTCGCCTCCTTCACCCCCGCCTTCCTCTGGCTGCTCCGCGACTTCTACCTGCGCCTGGAGGAGGAGGGGCGCGCGGTGAGGCGGCCCGCCGCGGCCGCGGCCCTGCCCTGCCCCGCCCTGCCCTGCGCTGGGTGCCTGCGCCGTACCCCGCAGCCTCGTCCCCACCTGGCCCACCTCCCTGCGCTGCCGCACGCAGGTCACCCCGCGTGACTATCTGGAGACGGCGCTGCAGCCGCTGCAAGGCAGCGGGCGAGCGGTGGAGGCCAAGAATCAGGTGGGGGGAGGTGGAGGGGCGCCCGCTGGGGGGCTGGCCCCGCCTTCCACGCACCCTACCCTGCCAAGCTGGCCAGCTGGCCGCCCCTCGACGGTGCCTGCCTGGGCCGCCTGTAGAGAGTCCTGCCGGCCACCTGCCCCACCGCCGGGCAGCTGCGTTTACCCCTTGGCCACCACCCCACCACCCCTGGCACAGATCCGCGAGAGCATCAAGTCCCTGTTCCCCGACCGCGACTGCTTCACGCTGGTGCGCCCGGTGAACGACGAGGAGCAGCTGGCGGCGCTGGACACGCTGCCCGCCGCCCAGATGCGCCCAGAGTTCAGGTGGGGGGGCTGGAGGGGGTGGGGGGCTGCGTGTGGGCAGCCCTGGCACGACTGCGTGCCCGACTGCTGGTGCAGGTGGCCAGCCAGTGCTGCTTGCGCCTCGCCTGCCGCCGCCCGGCCACTGCCCGCCCGCCTGCCGACGGCGGCCTGCCCTGCTGTACCTTGCGCCTGGGTTGTGGCTGCAGGGAGGGGCTGCACCGCCTCACCCAGATCATCTTCAGCAAGGCCCAGCCCAAGCGCCTGGGCTCCCAGATCCTGAGCGGGCCCATGCTGGCGGGGCTGACAGAGGCGTACGTGACTGCCATCAACAACGGGTGAGGGGTGGGAGGAGGGCATGGCATGTGGGCAGGCGTGGTGGGGCATGCCACAGCCTGCCCTCTGTGTAGTGTGTTGCAGTCTGCATGTTTGCAACAGGGCCTGATGACGCGCAGGCCGGCGGTGTATTGACCTGCTGGGCTGCCCCCACGCGCCTCGTCCGTTGCTGGGAACGAGGCCGCCCGCTGCGCTCGCTGCCTGGCGACCGCCCCTCTCTGGCGCCGCCTGGCTTGCACGCAGCGCGGTGCCCACCATCGCCACCGCCTGGCAGGGGGTGGCGGAGGCGGAGAGCCGGCGCGCGGGGGACGCCGCGCTGGCCGCCTACGCCGCCGCTTTCACCGAGGAGGTGGCGGCCGAGGACGCGGCGCTGGCATCGGAGCACCAGCATGCGCTGCTGGCGGCCAAGGCGGCGTTTGACGACATTGCCATCGGCGACGAGGGCGTGCGGCGCGCCAACGAGCAGCGCTGGCGCGACAGCTGCGAGGCCAGGCGCGCGTGGGGGCGGGCGGCCGGGGTGCCAGGGCGCCGGGACGGGGGGCAGGGAGGGGGCGGAGCAGCCAGCGTTGTTGATATTGCTGGCCGTCGGTTTGGGAGGCAGGGCCGCGGCGTTCCTGCACTCACGCGCGTGTCCCGCCCATCGCGCCCCGCAGGTACCAGCAGCTGCGGGAGCGCAAGCTGGCCCAGGCGTCTGCCGCCTGCGAGCGCATGATCAGCGAGGCCACGGTGCGGCTGGCGGCGCTGGCGCGGCAGGAGGGGGCCACTGTGGAGCGCCTGCAGGTGAGGCGGGCGTGGGAGCGAGGGCGGGAGGTAGCGGGGGCTGGGGCCAGGGCCGGCCCTGGCAGCGCCCAAGCTGTGGGGTGCGGTGTGGTGTAGCAGGGAGTGTGTGTGTGCGGTTGTGGTGGGTGTGCGGGGCCAGGATGTACGGTGTTGATCCGTGGCGCCAGGGAGGCGGCTGCCCTTGTGCGCCCTGCTGGGACCCTGGGCACCCTGCCCCCGCACCTGACACCCCTCCCCGCTGCTTGTGACCCTGCAGGAGGAGGTGGCCGCCTTTGAGCAGGCCTACCGTGCCTCCCCCGCGGCCACCGGCCCTACCAAGTGGCCCCGCTTCGCAGGTGCGCCGCCGCCGTCCCGCCCTCCTGCTGCTGGCCTGCCCTTGCGCTGCCGTCGCGGCCGCCTGCTGCGCCCTCCCCTGCCCTCCCGGTCACCCGCCCCGCTCCCCTCCTCCCCACCACCCGCCCCCGCAGAGTTCACAAGGGATGCGTACGGCGGCGCGGTGCGTGACCTGGCCGCCCGCCTGGACGAGCGGCGCAGGGCGGAGGCGGCGGCGGCGGCGCAGGCTGCTGAGGTGGCGTCCCTCAAGGCGCAGCAGGCGCAGCAGCGCCTGGCTGGCGCCGAGTCAGAGGCCGCCCAGCTGCGGGCGAGGCTGGGGGAGGCGGAGCGGCGGCTGGGAGAGGTGCAGGCGGAGCTGGCGAGGGAGCGGGCGGCGGCGGCGGCGGCCGCCTCCCGCCTGGCCGTGCTCGAGCAGCAGGTGCAGCACCTGGCGCAGAGCAAGGAGGCCGAGAGCCGCAGCATCAGCCAGCAGGCGGAGGCGGCGCTGCGCGCGGCGCAGGCGGCACACGAGGCGCAGGCGGCGGCGGCGCGGCGCGAGGCGGCGGCGGCGCAGCAGCAGCTGGCGGCGGCGCAGGGCGAGGCGGCGGCACTGCGGCAGCAGCTGGCGGCCAGCGGGGCGGCGGCACAGGACTGGTCGGGGCGGTTGGCTGTTGTGGAGGCGGAGCGGGAGGGGCTGCTGGCCAGCGTGCAGCTGCTGAGCGCCGACAAGGCAGAGCTGCAGCGGGGCCAGGAGGCGGCGCAGCTCCAGCTGGCGGAGCTGACCCAGCGCATGCAGGTGTGTGGTGGTGTGCGTGTGTTTGGGGTGTGTGTTTGGGAAAAGAGCAGGGCCGTGCACGGTGCGGATTCTTCTGTGTGTCAGGGGTGGCGGCTCAGCGCAGGCCATGTTGGGGCGACCCAAACCCGCCTGCTCTGCTAACCTGCTGTCCCCTGCTGCCCCCCTCCTGCAGGCCCGCGAGGCCGAGGTGGCCGGCCAGCTGCGTGGGCTGGAGGAGGAGGCTCGCCGTGCCGCGCTGCAGGCGGCTGCTGCGCCGCCGCCGGCGGGCCGGGCGCCAGCTGCTGCGCTGCCGTCGCCGGCGTTTGAGGATGCGGGGGCGGGGGGTGAGGATGAGTTTGAGGATGTGGAGAACCTGAACATTCCCAGGATGACCATTGGGCAGGTGGGTGTGGTGCGGTGTGGTGCGGAGCGGAGCGGGGTGGGGTAGGGCGGGCGCGGAGCCGGGGATGGGGTGGCGGCGGATGGCAGCAGGCCGGGGCACTTGCCTTGCCCGGGACCACGCACACGCGCATACACACACGTGCACGCACACACACCTGCACACGCTGCCTACTGTACCCTTTACCACGCCTGCAGATGAAGGACTGGCTGATGGAGCACGGGTACGAGAAGGACGCGTGGGAGCTGGCGCAGAAGCGGGGCAAGAAGGCGGACTACGAGGCGCTGCTGCGGCGCGTGACGGGGCTCTAGGCCGCGGGGGCCGCAAGGCCTGGGGCCGCAAGGCCTGGGGCTGGCCGGGGCGCCGCAGCACCGGCTGGGTGGCAGCCGCGGCGGCGCAATGTTTCCCTGGAATCCCAACCCTGCTCTTTTGTAGGCTCTTTTGTAGGCTAGCTGGCTGAGAGACTGAGTAACCAAATGTGTTGCAAGCGAGCAAAACTTGTGGCCATGTAAATACACGCCAGGCGGCGGTGGCAGGGCTGCAGCAGCTCCAGGCGTGCCCGCCGGGCGCCGCGGGGAGGCCAGCCTGGCCTCCTCCCAGGCTCCCCGCCTATGCCTACACCTTGCGCACCAGCAGGTAGATGTTCTGGTCCACATCCAGGTCCTCTAGCCGCTTGGGGTCGCCCGTCAGCTGCATCAGCAGCCCGCCGTAGCTCACGTACACCTGCTCGCCGGGGGGGGGGAGCGCAGGAGGCAGGCGCAGGGCGAGGTGATACCGGGTGGGGCAGATATGCAGCAGCGCAGGCCCCCAACACACAGCAAAGCCGCCGGCCGATGGACGGATGCAGCAGCACGCCCCCACACTGCTGGCCGCGGCCCTGCTGCTGCTGCCGCCGCCGCCGCCGCCTGCCCCCCGCTCACGTCTGCCTTGAGCTGCCCGCTGGACGAGTTGTCCTTAAACTTGAACACCTTGCCGTGCATGACGTAGTCGAAGTTGTCCATCAGGGTGCGCTTGCCGCTCACAAACGACTGCGCAGGGTGGGTGGGTGTGCGGGGGAGAGGGAGGGGCGCGGCATCAGGGCCGGTGAGGTGGGGGGTGGAGGCCACGGGGATGTGGTCACGGGCAGGGTCGCACACAGGCTGCGCTTGAGGCGGCAAGTGATGCACAGCACGGCCCGGCGGGGTGTGGGCGCAGCGATGCCAGCGCGGCTGGCACGGCTGCCACCGCATGCCGGCTCCCAAGCCGCCTGCCTGTGCCGCCTCACCGCGTCAAAGGTAGCGCTGGAGGGCGTGCCGTCCAGGTTGAGCGTGTTGGCCAGGCAGATCACCAGCTTGTCTCCCACCTCCACTGCGGCAGGGCGCAGGCACGAGGCAAGGGTCATGCAGGCCGCTCGCAAGGCAGCTCGCCCCTGGCTTCCTGCATGGCGGCGCCCTGCATGTGCACATCCCTGCCCCTCCCCACCCCGCCACCTCCCACCTTCCCCGTCACCTCCCACCTTCCCAGCCCTCGTGCGATGCACTCGCCCCATGCCGCACTATCCCCCCATCCCCAAGCCCACCACCACCACCCACCCGGGAACACGTCCACGTTGATGTCCAGCACCAGGTCCATCTCGTACAGGTCAGACCGCGCCTTGATGCGGCTCACTGCGCAGCGGCGGCAGCGGCGGCGGCCGGGCAGGCGGCGGCGGGCGTGTCGGTGCAAGGCATGCGACGAGGGCAGGCTGCTCATGCATGCATTCGTGGATGCTGAAAGCGAGGCAGCGATGCAGCCTACACGCACGCCGCCGGCGAAACTCCACATGCTGCGGGGCCCGAGGGGCGATGCTAGGCAGCTGCACACGCCCCGACCCAAAACGCCTGCCGCCGGCGCCCGCCGCCTCCGCACCCTTGTCAAACTTCTTGCCATCGGGGTCCTTTTCCTGCACCTCGAATATATCTTCTAGTACTTGTGATTTGGACATGCTAACCGCTGCCGCTGCTCAGCCCTGCACCGACACAAGGCAGCGGATCATGAGAGACACCGCCACCGCGCGAGGCAGACTGGCGGCAGGCGGCCCAGGCGGCGGCGCTCCTTCCCTCTCTCACTTGCCTGGCGCTGCCTCCCGTCCCCACTGATGCTAGATACACGCAGTTGGAAGGACTCTCCCCCGCTGGACGGCTTCCCAGGCGGGTCCAGAGGCAATCGGCGGCAGCGCAGTTCTATTGGTGGCGGCGGTCGCAAATAATATGCCGGGTGCAGCACAGAGCTTATGAAGACGTGCAGGGAGCGCGATGGCGAACGGAATTGGCGGCAAACAGTCCCTTTCTTTCGCTGCATGGACGACTCCCAGGGCGCTGAAAACAGCAAGCCAACAACAAACCCGGTACCAGTTCGTGATCGCTCACCGACTGGAGCCATTGACGCCATCCCCTGTGCTCCTTCACCGCCAACTTGCCACACTGCGGCTGTCAACCAGGCACAGCGCTGCAGAGCTGCTCTTGCAAACCCCGCCCCTACATCTGCGCACAGCCAGGGGGCGCAGCACCCGGCACCATGTCGGCCTCCTGCTGCATGCTCTTGCCGCCAGCGGCACCCGCCGGCAGCCAGCGGCGGTGCGCTAGCTCCGCGGGACAAGTAGCAGCAGCTTGCAGGCCAGCTGGATGGCACAACCCCTTGAGGCGGCCTGCAGACTCGCAGCAGCTTCGTCGGCACCTTGGTTCCGCTGACAGGCGCAGAGCTGGTGGGCGATTCACAGACTGCCGCCACAGCCACGTCGTGGCGCCTGCCGCTCCTCGTGGCCAGGCGCCCTGTGCGCAGCTGGCTGCCTCTGTCCCGACCGCCCCACCCTGCATCCCCGCCTGCAGGCGTGCGGGTGCTGGCGCTAGACGCCGCCTTTTCTTTCGACCGCGAGGCGCAGCTTCGCCAGCAGCACTCGCAGCAGAGCAAGTGCGTGAGGCGGGGTGGCGCCGCCGGGCCTGCTGCCGGCTGACCAGCTGCAGCGCCGCGGGGCAGCACCCTGGAATGCAGTCCGCCACAGCCCTGCTACTGCCGCTGCCGCAGGATGCAGAGGGAGGTGCGGGCATGCGGGCCTTGTGGGCTCCCAGCTGATCCCTGCTCCGCTCCCTGCCCTGCCGCCTCCTCCCCGCCAGGCTCAAGATTGGCATCGTGGGCTTCGGCACCTTTGGCCAGTTCCTGGCTCGGCGCATGGTCCAGGCGGGGCACGAGGTGCGCTGAGCAGCGGGCGAGAGGGGCGCTGCAGCCGCCCGCCGCGCTCTCCCCGCCCCGTTTTTGTGCAGCTGTTGCCCGGGCCTCGCAGCCTTGCCTGGGGTCAGCCGCAGCCAGCATCGCCCACCCCTACCCTCCCACCCCCGACCCCACGCTGCCCCCCTGCAGGTAATTGCCACCTCGCGCTCCCCTTACCACGACCAGGCCGCCGCCATGGGCGTGCGCTACTTCACAGACGCCAACGACTTTTGTGAGGAGCACCCCGAGGCCGTCATACTGGCCACATCCATTCTGTCGCTGGAGCAGGTGCGGCGGGGAGGCTGGCGGGGGTGGTTGCTTGGCACACTGTGGAGTGGAGAGGCAGTTGGGGTGGGAGGTGGGCGGCCCGTCTTCGGCTGCCCGTCTGAGGCTCGACGGCCGCCTGCTCCCCACCCCGCCGTGCCGCCCCTGGTGCCCCCGCAGGTGCTGCTGTCGCTGCCCGTGCAGCGCCTCAAGCGCTCCACGCTGTTTGTGGATGTGCTGAGCGTGAAGGAGTTCCCCAAGCGCCTGCTGCTGCGGGAGCTGCCGCCAGAGGTGGATGTGCTGTGCACCCACCCCATGTTTGGACCCGACTCAGGTGGGGCGTTGTGGTTGGCCGTGGGCGCTGGTGCCTGGCTGGCTGGCTGGGCACTGGTGCCTGGCTGGCTGGCTGGGCGCTGTGCCTGGCTGGCTGCCTGCGCCCGTGTCTCCTCGCCTCTCCCACGCCTGGCCCCCGGCTGCCCCGCGCTCCCTGCAGGCAAGGGCAGCTGGGCGGGGCTCAACCTGCAGTACGAGAGGGTGCGAATCGGGTGCGAGCCAGACCGGCAGCGACGCTGCGACACGCTGCTGCAGGTGAGTGGGCAGGGCGCGCGTGCGTGTGTGGTGGTGGTGGTGGTGGTGGTGGGTAGGGGCGCAGTGTGGAGGCTAGGGGGCAGCAACACTAACCATTGGGAGGCAGACACAGGAGGCAGCGCTGCACAGGCGAGCTGGGCGTGGGGCGCGCGCGTCGCGTTGTGTGCCGACCGGTTCCCGCCTGCCCGCGCTTGTTGACCTGCTGTCCGCCCACCCCCTGGACTCCCCCCCCCACACTGGCGCCCCAGTTTTTCGAGCGCGAGGGGTGCCGCATGGTGGAGATGAGCTGCGAGGAGCACGACCAGCTGGCGGCGTCCACCCAGTTCATCACACACACAGTGGGGCGCATGCTGGGGGCCATGCAGGCAAGGCGGGGGGGCCCTGGGCCCTACGCGCCCGCCCACCCGTGGCCGCCCGCTCGCCTGCCCCTGCGGCGCCAAACCAGGGCCGCGGCTGCCTGGCCGGCCGCGCGCCGTCCCGCCGCCTGCCTCACCCACACACCTCCCCCCCGACCCGCGCTCCCGCCGCCGCAGCTGCAAGCCACCCCCATCGACACCAAGGGCTTCCAGAGCCTGCTCAGCCTGGTGGACAACACGGCCAACGACTCGTTCGACCTCTACTACGGACTCTTCATGTGGGCGGGGCTGGCGATGCGGGGGGGTGCAGGGGCTGACCTGTGCGGGGCGGGCCGGTGCGGGGCGGGCCGCTGGCGCCCGCAGCGCCGCCCTCTGGCCCTTGCGAGCCCTGCGTGCACGAGGGGTGCTGACCGGCACCTGCCGCGCCCCTCCCTTCTGCCTGCAGGTACAACCAGGTTAGGGCTGGGTGTGATGGGGGAAGGACAAGGGCAGCAGCTGGCCTGCACCTGTGGGTCTGTGGCTTCTTACTACTTCTAGGCCGTCCTCACCCTACTGCCCTGCCCTGCCCTGCCCTGCCCTGCCCTGCCCTGCCCTGCCGCCCCCTGCCCCCAACACGCACAGAACTCCACCGAGCAGCTGGACCGGCTGGAGAAGGCGTTTGACGAGGTCAAGGCGCGGCTGCTGCACCAGGTGGGGCCCCCCGGCAGGCCCTAGGCTGGGCGCCTTGTGGCAGCAGGACCCAGGGGCCAGCCTCCCCCGGCACCACCCTCACGCGCACGCCTGCCCGCCCTGCCTGCCCGCCTGCAGCTGCACGACAAGGTGCGGCAGCAGATCTTCCACGGCGAGATGTACCAGGCCAAGCCGCAGCTGATGCTGCCAGACCGCAGCAGCGGCGCCGGCAGCAGCAGCGACAGCGATGGCGGCGGCGCCGGCTGCAGCCCCAGCTGGCAGGCGCAGCCCGCGGCGGCGGAGAGCGGCGGCAGCGTCGGGGGCAACGGCGGGGGAAATGGCGGCGGGGCTCAGCCAGGCAGCGTCAACCCTTTCACGATGAGCATCGAGTCGCCCTGAGCTGCGGGCTGCGGCATGCGCCCTCACCCCCATTACACCTTGGAGACTGCAATAGGTCACTGCCTTGAGCTTTGCTTCACCTCTCCCTCGCAGCACCCTAGTTGGCATCACTCCCCGCTTCCCTGAAGTGGTGTTGTTACACAGTGAGCGCGTCGTGCTGCAGGGCCGCTTGCAGCTGAGAGGGCGGGCAGCGGCCAGCCAGGCCCGCCTCACACCAGCTCCACCGCCCCCTCCGCCACCAGCTGCTGCACCGCTCGGTAGCGGATGACAAAGAGGTCGCCGCGGTTGAACTCCGCCACGTTGCTGCGACGGGGCAGGCAGGCAGGCAGGCAGGAGGCGGAGATGTGAGCAAGCAGTCGGCCGGCACAGGGGGAGGCGAGCAGGCAGGGCATCCTGTGACAGGCGCTCTCCGTGGGCGTGGCTGGGAGGGCGCCCGAGCACCGCACACTCAGCATGCAAGCTTCGCCCACGCTGCGCTGCCGCCTTGCCATGTGCCCCATAATGTGTGGCACTGGCCCCAAGCCTTCCCCGCCCGCGCCTCACCCCTCCTCGTCCACCGTCGCGTTGCCCCTGTCCTCCAGCACCCGCGCAAACACGTGCTGGTCCAGGCTGGGCGCCGGCACCATGTCCTTGGTGGGGTGCGCCGCCGCCTGGCGCACCAGCGAGCTGAAGGCCTCGGGCAGCTTGTTGGCGGCCATGGCCTTCATGTGAGACCCAAACAGCACGAAGTAGTCGCGCGCAAACTGCGACTCGGGGCCCGACAGCCGCGCAGCAACGTCTGCGGCGGGAGCGGGCGGGCGGCGCAGCGCGGCATTTGCTGCCTTGCTGTGTTGCCGAATGGTTCAACAGCCGCAAATCAGCTGGTTTGAACTGGCGCTAATGCCTGGCAGCAATGTGGCCTGGCGGGCTTGGACCCGCCAGCAGCTCACCCGCGTTGTCGAGGATGTACATCACGTGCCGCTCCACCTTCTGCAGGCGCACCCGCAGGTAGGCTCGCAGCAGGTAGCGAATCCGCGACAGCTCGCTCATGAAGATCTCCACCACCAGCTTCATGTCGTCGTTCTCCTTTAGGAGCTCTATTTGCTCGTCCTGCGGGCGGCGGCGGGGGGCAGCACAAGCGGCGGCAGCTGGCTGTCGCTGCCTTTCGGCGCGATGAACATGACGCCTTGCCTGGTGCTGCTGCCAGTCCAGCCGCACCTGGTAGTCCATGTTGCTCTCTATGCGCCCGACCAGGTCGGTCTCAAACTGCAGGATTTCCGGCGCCGCCTTCTCGTTCATCAGGGCGCTCTTCAGCTGCTCTGCATCGCTGCGCCCCGAGGTGCTGGCGGGGTTGGACTGCAGAAAATCAAACTCCGCCGTGTCCTGAGTCTCCATGTTGTTTTGCGGCGGTGATGAGCAAAGCAGCCTGGTTTGATGGCGGTCCCTATAAGGAAGAACGACAAGACGCGAGTGCGATGGATAGCGCGATCACAGAAAGCTTTTCATAGCGGCGCGCTGCTGCGCCTGCTGTGGCGGAGCGGGCGGGTGGGCCGAGCCAGGAGGCACCACAGCCTACAATAAATCCTTGTTTATTCGTAGGTCGTGGTGGAGAACGCATTGCTAAACAAGAGTAACAAGCAGATCAGGCAGAAGCTGAAGATGGGCGCACACTGGGGCAACAAAAGCACTGCAACAAGTAGCACAGCCAGGACCTGCTCAGTCCTCTGCAGCGACTAGAGTCGGCTGCATGATGGGCTATGCATGATGGCCTGCTGTGCAATCGCCACACAAACCATCTTGTCCACCTGCTATGTGCCTGTGTACTGTACACAACCCCACATGTGTCCGCTCAAGACACCACTGCAAATACCTTACAGCTCACAGTTCTCAGGGCGGGCAGCCACCATACACTGGCAAATCATCATTCACTCTCGCTGTACAATGGCTTACGATGATGCTACAGCCGCGAAACACGAAGGGCACTACCTATTGTCCTGCTAGCACTCGCCTCAAACGGCTCGCTCTACTGGCACTCTAGTCGTGCCGCTGCCTCACCACAGCCCAACCTGCTTCTTGGCCATCTGCTGCCGCCAGGCTGGCATCGCCTTGAAGGCCGCGCGATTCTTGCCAAACACCTGAAGGCGGCACAGCCAGAACGAGGCGGTTGGCGGGGATGGGTTGGGTGCGCAGCACAGGGCGCTTGGCCATGCCCCCGCCCCCCCCTCAAACCTTCTCAAACTCCGACTCCGACAGGTACGACTCCTTGCTCGCCATGTCGATGCCACTCTCCACACGCATGTCTGCAGCACCAATGGCCTCGCTTGCTGGTGGGCTGGCGCCCTGGGGCAAGCGCTGGCGCAGGCAGCAGCGCTCCGACTGATACAACAGGCCAGAGAGAGCACATTCGCAAGCGTTTCCCTGCCTCTCCTCCACCTCGGCACTCACTCTTCAGCTCCTCGTAGCCAAAGCTTTTGTCGCCAGGCTTCACCTTGGCCTGGGCGGCTTTGGGGGTGCCATCGCCGTTGTTCACGCCGCCCCAGGCCTTGGCTGCGGCAGCGGGCAGCAGGCAGGTGGCGGCCGGGTGAGCATGCCACCACATGCAGGCACTCGCCCACTAAGCACGCAAGGCACTTGTAGCTGCCCTCCCGCTGCGCAAGCCGCTCAGCGGGGCAGCTGCACTGCCTCCGGGCTCACCAGAATCGGCCAGGTAGGTGGATGCCTTGCCTCCCTTGGTCGCATCCTGCAGCACAGTACCAGGGGCCAACAGCTTGGCAAGCCTGGCCAGCGGTGCCGCTCAACAGGCAGCTGCGGGACAAAGGTGGGCCCATGCCGCACGCACCTTGTTCTGCTTCTTCTGCGCCAGAGGGTCTGCCATGGTGCCACTGCAGCAGAATGCCACTGGCTCAGTGCCAGCAGCCAGGGCTGAAGCAATCGGAAGCATGCATCACTGGCTGCATGCAATGCACCGGCCTGCAGGGTGGAAGCCCTGGCAACGCACCCCAGGCGGTCCATCAGCTGCTGCTTGGACTTGCTGACGCTCTCCACGCCCACATTATCCACGGTTCCCTGCGGGCAGGCATCCCAGGCAGGCAAATGAGGGGGCTGGGGGTGTGGGCTGGCAGTCAAGACTTGCACGCTCGCTGAATGGCAGTGGAGCGACACCGCCAGCGATGCACGGCGGCATTGAGCGCAGGCTGGGCGAGGAGCAGACCTTGGCGGCAGGGGTGGTCTGAGCTGGAGGCGCCTTTGATGCTGCTGGCGGTGCGGGGCGTGGGGCAGCCGCTGCTGTCGCTGCCATGGCAGCAGCGGGTGCGGGCGAGGCGGTGTTGGCAGGCGGCGACGACTCCGAGGCCTTGGGAGGCTCCACCACCACCGACACCTTGGCAGGCGCAAACACCAGCGAGATCTTGGGAGACGAGGGGTCCGGAGCCGCCTCCTTGGTTGCTACGGGCAACGGAGACGCCTCCTTGGTTGCTACGGGCGGCGGCGGCGGCGATGCCTTTGCAGCGGCGGGCGGCGGCGATGCAGTCTTGGCAGCAGCGGGTGCCGCAGATGCGTTTGCGGCTGCTGCTGGCGGCGAGGCCGGCTTCGCTGCCGAAGCGGGCGAGAAGGCGGCGGCGCCTACAGAGAGCGTGGGGGAGGCGGGTGCAGCCTGCTGCTGCTTGGCAGGGCTAGCTGTTGGTGAGGGCGCGGCCGGCTCAGCCACGGCCTCCTGCTGCTGGCTGCTCTTCTTCTTGTTCTTGCGCTTCTTCTTCTTGCCTGCGGTGGCAGCCGCTGATGCGCTCTCCTGCTCCTCCTGCTCCTCCTCCTCGGCCTCCTCACCGCCCCCCTCGCCATCTGCCGTCACAGACTCTGAACTGGGCTTGGGTGCAGCCTCTGCCGGCGCCGCTGCTGCCACCGCCGCCAGCCTGATCTCAAACTTGGGGAAGAGCTGCGCGACGGTTGGGAGAACACTAGGTGAGCGCAAAAGTACAGCAGCATGCAGGTAAAGCAGTGCTGCACCAGCTGCGGGCAGCACCCACCTGCTTGAACTCCGCCGCCTCGTGGCCCTGCTGCTGGCGCAGGTAGGAGGCATCCATCGTTTCCTTCAGCTCTGACGCATGCTTGGCGGCGGTGGCCAGCGTGTCCTGCAAGCAGGCACAGAAACGGCGCTGTCAGCGACAGCTTGCCGCCGAACTTCCATATCGCAGCAGCGCCATGGAATTGTTCCCATGACGAGCATGGATGATCCACAGCGCGACACCGATTGGCAGCTGGAAGCCAAGGAGAGGAGGGACGGCTTGCCCCAAGTGATCAGAGCGCGGCGGGCGCGCCCACCTTGGGGGCGTCTGCTCCCGCCCAGAGGTAGATCTTTGGCGTCTCTCCTACCTCCGCCAGCACCACATAGGCCTGGTCTGCATGGAAGAAGGCCAGAGGGGAGGTGGGAGCGCGTTGCCCACGAGCGCCATTGCCTCGGCGTCCCGTCAGAGCTCCCGCTGGATGGCCGGCGGCTAGCATGGCTCAATCAGATCGCGCTGCCGCAGCCAGGCCCTCACCTGGGCTGAAGAGGCCGTGCTCCTCGGCGAGCACCTGCGTGGGCGCACCACTGCTAAAGTGCCAGACCTGCATGGCTCTAGACGTTGGCCCTGAATGCAGACTCGATCAGATCAAGGCCTCTGAGAGAGCACCTCCCATCTGCCGCGTGGCAAGTTTCTAACTTTCTAAAACTGACAGCCTCCCAAGGCCGCCATAAGCCTCCGGCGTGTCCATTCTCATTGGTAGACACACGGCCAGCCGCACAGGTACAGCCCCATCACAAATTGAACAGTGGTGGGCAGCCTCGCGGATGCGGCTCCACCAGGTGCGCCCCTGCGTTCAGAAAAGCCAATGGTTGCATTCAAGGGTGCCGCTGCGTGGCGCTTCCTTCACTGGCGTGATAGTTGCTCGCCCCTCCTCGCCCTCCCTGCCCCTGCGCAGCCACAATGGTATTGACGCGCTCACAGGCAGCCAAGCAGAAAGCCCACCAGTCGCCGGAGGCACACAGGCCCTCCAAGCACGCCGCGACCGCCGACGCTCAACCAGGCGGGGGCACGGCACAGCCCAGCCAGCCGCTGGCAGACAAGCTGCTCAACGTGCACAGCGGCATGGGCTCCAAGGCGTCCAAGCTGTCCAGGCTGAGGACAGGGCCCTGCTCACACCCCATTACCTCCCTGCCGGGCTCGCCCGCCGTCAGCCCGGGGCCCGGCACCCGCGAGTTCACCATTGCCGCGGTGCAACAGCAGGCGCAGCAGGCTGAGCTTGGCCAAGCGCTCGCCGCAGTGGCAGCAGCGCAGGCGGGAGCAGGGGCTACCGAGGGAGAGCAGCAGCCAGCTGCCGAGGCGTCGTCAGTTGAGAAGCGGCAACCGGAGGGGGAGGAGGCAGCGGCAGGTGGCCTGCAGGCGGCGGCGATTGGGGAGCAGGCAACCGCGTCCGACCCAGCAGCCCCCGTCGGCATGCCGGCTGAGCACCCCGCAGCGCCGCAGCAGCAAGCGCAGCCCCCCGCGCCGCAGCCGGTATGTGGAGTGCTTGGCTGTGAACCTGCGTGCCCTGCTGCCTGCCTCCCAACCTGGCTTGCCCTGAATGCAGCCGTGTGTTGGTCGCCGTTGTTGTGTTTGACAGCTGTCACCCCCATCCCATTCCAGCCCCACGGTCACCCACCTGCCCATCCTGCAGCGGCCCGAGAAGCTGCTCAAGCGGCTGCCGGACAAGGCGGTGCCGTGCGACAAGCTGCCCGACGGCCCCGAGCCTGTGGTGGTGGATGTCGAGTATGTGGCCAGCCAGGACCTGCAGGTGCGGCCGCCTGGCCTGCCAGCCGCTGCGGGTGCTGCGCTCTGTGTGGCAGCCGTCTCATGGCAGCCGCTGGCAGGACGTGTGTGGGATGGTTGGCACGTGGCCTGACCTCGACGACCCTTCCTGCTGCCTGACCTGTGTGCCTGTGTCCTGCCGGTTGGGTGCAGCCCGTGGCCGATTCGGCAGCCGCGGTGGCGGCGGTGGTGCCGGCCCTGGAGGCCGCCGAATGGGTGGAGGCGGTGAAGGCCATCAACCTGCTGCGCCAGCTGGTGGTGCACCACCCAGAGGCCTGCGCCCCGCAGCTGTGAGCCCTGCGCCTTGTCCTCGGTGCCGGCTGATGCCGTGTCACTGCTGGAGCAATTACCTGCACGCGGGCGCTGCCTGGTCCCCTCCTCACAAGCCGCCCCATGCATGCCTGGCCTGCTGCAGCAACACGCTCATGCCGCTGCTGCTCAAGTCGGTGCGCAGCCTGCGCAGCTCGGTGTGCAAGGTGAGGCGGGCCGGCCTGAGGTGCCTGGCGCGTGACGGCCGCCGCCATGCGTCATGCAAACCGCTCGACCCGTGCGCCCCCTGACACACACACACACACACACTTGCACACCCCTGTCCCCCCTCAGACCGCCATCATGGCGGTGGCTGATGTGTACACCACCTACGGCGACCTGCTGCTGCCCCACACCGACGTGGGCGGCCAGCTGAAGCCCACCACCAGCCTGCTGGCCCAGATGCTGCTCAAGTGCAGCAGCAACGACAAGAAGTTTGTGATTGAGGAGGCGCAGCGCGCGATGCAGGTGCGGGGTGGGGTGCACGCGGGAGCTTGCGGGGAGGCGGCCACGCTTCACCTGGCTCACCCGCCAAGCCGCCCGCTCGACTGGCGTGCATCTGCGGCATGGCACTGGGGTGCAGGTGATGGTGGACAGCCTGAGCGCGGGCGAGGCGCTGCGCCTGCTGCTGCCCTATGCCGACCTGCACAAGAACCCCAAGGTCCGCGGCAAGGCGGGCGGCGCAGTGGCGGCAGCGGTGGGCCGCATGCAGCCGCGCGACGTGCTTGCCTTTGGCCACCCGCGCTTGCTCAAGGTGGCGGGCAAGCTGGTCACAGGTGGGTGCTGCACTGTTGAGCAGCACAGCATGGTGGCTAAGGCGGCTTGCCGGCAAAGCCGTGTGGCATGCAGCCTTGCCCAGAGGTGGTGGCGGAACGTGGGCAGACCGCTCCCCTGCCCCTGCTGCCCTCTCCCCACCTGCTTCTCTTGCTGCACCGCTCGGCCCTTGCCCTTGCCCTGCAGACAATACGCCGGATGCGCGGGACAGCGCCAAGAAGGTCATTGGCCTGCTCAAGGCGGCGTTTGCCGACCCGGCGGTGGAGGCGCAGCTAGCGGTGGAGGTGCCGGCCCCGGCGGCGCCGGCAGAGGGCGAGGAGGCGCCCAAGCAGCCCACCAAGTGGGAGGCATACTGCCAGGCCAGCCTGAGCGTGTCGGCGGCGCTGGCGGTGCTCAAGGCGTCCAGCGAGTGAGCGGGACCAGCGAGCCGCGTAATTGAGCGCATGATTGCGAGCAGCCCAGTAAATTAGGTCAGAATGCACTCCATATGATCCAGGGTGTCTGTTGCCCATCCCCACTTGGTCAGAACCAGGGGCGCCCAGTGACCCGCCCCGCCAACCCTTGCACGACGCTTGGCGTCCAACCGTGATTGTAGGCCCTGCATTCTGTTTTTCGTCTCTTCAACCGCCGCATTCTCCTGCACTGCTTGTGTCTCGTGCAAGTGTCGAAACTGATGGATGCTTGCCAGGCAAAGCTAGCACCCTGGTGCTGGGGAGCGGCCACGGCTGACGGTCACAGTACAGCAGTACTCCTCCAGCAGCTCCGTGGCACGTGGCCCTGTGGGCACTCTTTGGCATTTGCAAACGCACATCACCGCTTTGCTGCATCAATTGGATCCCGCCCCGCCGTCCATGCACGGTGCCACCAAAACGGGTCACCGGGTTTAGGCGGCAGCCTCCCTCTCCTGCTCCGTCTACATCCATCAGGCAGCTCGCAGGGCGCCTGAGGCGGGGCATTGCCACGGCGCCCCACAGGCGACGCATGCAGGTCCTGGCGCGGTAGCAGCAGCTGGCATGGCGTACATGAGGACGCAGGTGCAGGGCGAACGGATCCCTTCGCAGCTGGAGGCCCTGGCCCAGGTGAGCGCGCCGGCTGGCCCGCCGCCGCCGCCGCTGCCTGCCGCCACTGCAGCCGCAAGACCCCGAACGGGTCTTCACACGCGGAAACTGGCCGCCCCCAGGCGCTGCCCTGTACCTCATCGAGAGGCGTAAAATGCCGGGGTCTCGCCCTGCCGCCGTGCCGACGCTGCTGACGTGGCGTCCACCCCCTATCATGTCGCCCACGCCCCCTCCGCCCCGCCCGCTCCCTGCGCCCTGCGCCCTGCCCCTGCCCCTGCAGCCCCATGTCGACTCCTACGACTTCTTCCTGGGGGAGGGCATGCAGCACGTGATAGACAACATGGACGGAATAGAGATTGAGCAGCCCGTGAGGTGTGCACAAGGGCTCCGCCGCCGCTGGCGTTGCTGCCAGGCACGGCAGCGCCGGCGGGGCATCGACCATGCTGGCGGGCTGGTGGCTGTTCTATGCACTGCCCCGTGCTGCCGCCGCATCGCTGCCGCTGCGCTGCTGCTGTCGCCGACCGGCGCCGCCCCGCTGCCGCCCCGCCCCGACCTGGCTGCAGCAAGACGCGGCACCGCTTCTGGTTTGAGAACCCCTCGGTGTCGCGGCCCATACGGGAGGACTCGGGGGCGGCGGCCAGCGGCGACCAGCGCCTGTTCCCGCGGGAGTGCAGAGAGGCGGTGAGCGGAGGGGCTGCGATGCTGCTGCTGCGCTGCTGGGCAGTCGGCACCGCCGCGTTGCCGTCGCTGCGGCTGCTGTGCATTGTGCAGCGGTTGTGTGCACACCTGCTGCCGCCGCATGCTGCTGCAATGCGCGATGAGGAACTAGCTCAACACATTCTGACACCTCTTGTGCGAGGGCGGCGCCGCAAGGCGTCCCCGCTGAACGCAACCACGCTGATCACTCCTGAGCGCTCGCTGCTGCTGCATGGGCGGTGCTTGCTGGGCTGCCCCCCCCCCTTCTCCGCCTTCCCACTTGCTTTTCCGTGCCCCCCTGCCCTCACACCCACACCCACACCCTTCCCTCCGCTTCCCTCCCTGCAGCGCACCACCTACAAGGCCCCTTTCACCTGCGACTTGGTCTACCAGGTTGAGGGCATGCCCGAGCAGCGGCTGAGCAAGCGGCTGGGCGGGCTGCCCGTCATGCTGAAGAGCAAGGCGTGCTACCTGCGCAACATGACGCGGCGGGAGCTGGTGGCGCGCAAGGTGGGCGGCGCGGGTGGTGGTGGCGGCCCCAGGCAGCCAGCCACGCCACGACACGGGGCTAGTGCTTGAAGTGCAGCAGCGCGGCGCGGCAGGTTGGACAAGAAGTCCACCCTGTGCCCACCACCCCCGCCACCCACCCCGCATGCATGCGCCCCCCCTGCCTGCCCCGCCTCAGGAGGAGAGCAACGAGTTTGGCGGCACCTTCATCTGCAACGGCATCGAGCGCATCATCCGCATGCTGGTGCAGGCAAGGATCGCTGGGGTCAGGCTCATGGCGGTGGAAGAATACCCGTTGTAGGAACACTCTGCCGATTGCAGCGCAGGCTGATGGATGGGCGGGCCCTCGGCGGGCTTGCCAGCCGCGACCCTCGCTGCGTGCTGTGCCGACGGGCTCGCTCGTAGCGCTGCCCGCTAGCCACGCCGCATCACCCGGCCCGCCCGGCCTGCCCGCAGAACCGGCGGCACTACATCATGGCTCTGCGGCGGGGCGCGTACCACAAGCGGGGGCCCTCCTTCACCGAAATGGCCACACTGATCAGGTTGGGAAGGCGGTGTGTGTGTTTATGTCGTTCAGTGTGTCGGTGGTGTAGTTTTGGGTCGTTGTGGCGGCCGGTGGATGAGGGTGTGGTCAAATGCGGCAGCATAGGCCGCCACTCCCAGCCTTGGCCGTCAGCTGGGCCGACCTTGCTCGCGTGTGCTGTGCGGCGGCTGCAGGTGTGTGCGGCAGGATGAGAGCAGCCTGACCAACCGCTGCCACTACCTGGCGGACGGCTCCTGCGTGTTTGCGCTGACCATCCGCAGGGCAGGTGCGGTGGTGGTGTGTGTATGGGTGGGTGGGGGGAGGGGGCGCACGGCTGGCGTGTGAGCCCAGCATTCGTCCTGCTCCCCATCCCTGTGGACTGGTCATCCATCCTCCCCTGCGGCCCCACCCCGACACGCCAAACGCATGCACACGCTGCCCCCAACCACCGCCACCCAAACACATGGTCAATACCACCAATCGTTCTTCCCACCCCTCCTCAACCTAGCACACACACACGCACCTCCCCTCCCCCCAACACACAGAGTACTTCATCCCCGCCGGCATCGTGCTCAAGTGCTTCCTGGAGGTGTCTGACCGCGAGCTGTACGGCAAGCTGGTGGGCAGCGTGGCGGCGGGGTCGGGCCACCAGAGCTTTGTGGCGGAGCGCGCCGAGCTGCTGCTGCGACAGGCCAAGCAGTTTGGGCTGCACACCAGGTGGGGGCGCGCGCGGTGGCGGTGGCGGGGTGGGGCTGGCCGGTGTGAGGCCTGGTAGCGCGGCCATGCACACCTTTCAAGGCGCCATTCTCATTAGGGTGGCAGGCAGGAGGCAACCGCGTGAAATCAACCAGGGTCGCGCCTGGATGGAGTGCCTGCCTGCCCAGCCCGCCGCCACCGCTCGCCTGCCTGCAGGGTGCACTGCGTGGAGTACCTGGGCCGCCTGTTCCGCGCCACCTTGGACGCCCCAGACCGCAAGACAGACTACCAGGTGGGGAGGAGGGGGTGGCTGTATGGGGGGGGAGGCGGGGGCTGAGGCTGAGGCTGAGGCTGAGCGTGGCTGGCTGGCAGCTGGCTGGGCGCAGCTGGGCTGGTTGGCAGCCTGCTCCCCCACGCCCCGCGGCTTCGCTCTCGGTCCTCCCTGCTCTCCCGCCTCCTGCTGCCTGCCCTGACCTGGCTCCCCACGCCTCTGTGCAGGTGGGCGAGCAGCTGCTGCGCGACCTGCTGTTCATCCACCTGGACCAGCCGGCCGACAAGCTGCAGCTGACGGTGCAGATGCTGCTCAAGCTGTACGCGCTGGTGAGCTGTGGGTGCCAGCGTGAGGCCTCTGCGACCTCCCCGCCACAGGCAGCTCTTCCTGACTGCCCCACAGCGGGGCACGAACGCACAAGCCCGCACTCCCCTGCTCCTACTTGCCCCTCACACCCTAACCACTCGCCCCACCGCTCCCTGCCTCCCCTGCAGGCCGACCGGCAGTGCGGGGAGGACAACCCCGATGCGCTGACGCACCACGAGGTGCTGCTGCCCGGCCACCTGCTGCTCAAGGTGCTGCGGGAGCAGCTGGAGACGGCACTGGAGGCCTTCCGCCAGCAGGTGCGTGCGCCGCGGCTCTAAGCTAGTCTGCTTTCCACAGGGGCTGCATTTGAGGAAGGAGCAGGGTTTCAGAGTAGGCAGGGCGCCGGGGGAACTTGCAAACAAAGTATCGCTGTTGAATGAATGAGGGCATGGCTCCACGGGGTGCGCAGGTGCGGCGAGACCTGGACACGCGGCCCGAGGTCGTCAACCTGCAGGACGAGCAGTACATCCGCAAGACCGCCGAGCGCATGCAGGATGTGGTGAGGCCTGGGGCGGGCAGACGGTGCCCGCTCGCCTCCCTACCGCACGCCTCGAGTGATGCGCACAGCTGCCCCCTCTTGCACACACACACTCTCTCTCTCACACACATGCACACCTTCAGGGCGCCAAGTTTGAGTACCTGCTGAACACCGGCAACCTGGTGAGCCGCAGCGGGCTGGACCTGTCCCAGTCCACAGGGTTCACAGTGGTGGCGGAGAAGCTCAACTTCTTCAGGCAAGGGCCCACACGCGCACTGCTCGCAAGCCACACGCTCACAGGCCGCGCGCTGCTCCCTGTATAACCCGCACCTGCTGCTGCGCTGTGCTTCGCTGCTGCCACCGCTGCCGTGCTGCCTGGAAGATGCCGTCCGGGGGGCTGGCTATGACGAGCTTTATTTCTTGCAACCCTAGCGGCCTGCGGCCGCGCTGAGGGCAAAGCAAACTTCCAATTGATCCTACCGAGCCTCCCCCCACTTCTGCACCGCTGCACCTGTGCCTGCACCTGCCACCGCTGGCTGGCTGCCCGTGACACGCGCCGCCTGCCGCGCTGTCCCCTCGCCTTCGCCGCTGCCGTCAACAACCCAACCCCCACCATTTATTTCTAAACAACCAGCGTGTGCTTCTGCGTCGGCTTCCGCTGCAGGTACCTGAGCCACTTCCGCTCCATCCACCGCGGCGCCTACTTTGCGGAGCTGCGCACCACCACAGTGCGCAAGCTGCTGCCCGAGTCCTGGGGCTTCCTGTGCCCCGTGCACACCCCCGACGGCTCGCCCTGCGGCCTGCTCAACCACTTCACCGCCGCGTGCAGGTGGGTGGGTGTGGGGTGGGGTGGGGTGGGGGGCTGGGGAGGGGAGGAGCTGGAATCAAGGCTGGAAACCTGCAGAGGGGGAAAGGGGCGGGCCAGGCGTGGCAACCACACTGCAGCCATGGGCTGCCCCGTGGAGCGCACGCCCACACATCCTGGTCTGGCCGAATTCGGCGCTGCTGGCTGCTGCTGCTGCTGCAGGGTGGTGACGCATGAGTCGGAGGAGCCAGAGGAGGTGCTTGCGGCTGTCACCAAGGCAAGCGCGGGGGTGGGCTGGCCAGGACGCTGCCACGGTTGCACTTTCGTCCCGGTGCCGGTGCAGGGCAGGCGGGCAATGCACCTCTGCGGGGCATGCACCCTGGGCTTGAGCTGGCAGTGATGCCCAGCTGCCGTGCCGCTCCTTCGCCTGCAGGTGCTGGGCGGGCTGGGCATGGTGCCTGTGGCGCCCAACCTGCCGGCGCCGCCGACCCCGGGCCACCTCTGCGTCCAGGTGGGTGTCCGGTACTGTACTGCTGGGCACCTGTACCTTGCACCGCAGCCCTGCGGGAAACATGCGTTAAACGTGGGTTGTCAGTTTGCGCTGGTGCTGGCAACCGGCCTGTTGGCGTGTCACCTCCTGCGCTGCCCCGGCCGCCCTCCCTCTCACCGGGCCTGCTTGGCCCCCCGCTGCTGCAGGTGGATGGGCGGGTGGTGGGCCACGTGCGCGCCAGCCTGGCGGGTGCCATGGTGGCGCACCTTCGCGCCATCAAGGCAGCCAGCCTGGCAGCGGAGGAGCAGCTGACGCCAGGTGGGCAAATGCAGGCCTCCAGCAAGCCCGCGGAGCCGCTGCCAGCAGCCAGCTGCCGCACGGCGGCTGCCATGGCTGCGCGACTGCCCGCCTCCAGCCCACCCGCACTCACCCCCCCAACACGTGCTGGCGGCCACCCCTGCCCCGACCCCGTGCGTCCCTGCAGGCGCCACGCTGGTGCCGCTGCACGATGAGGAGATGTCTGTGCCCAGCCATGCCGAGGTGGTGCACATCCCGTATGAGCGGGGGGCGCCCTACCCTGGTATCTTCATCTTCACTCAGGCACGCACACCTGGGAGGGAGGTGCTGCATGCATGCCTGGCGTGCTGGGCGGCTCTGCAGGGCACGCACCTCGGCTGGACGCGTGTCCCGGCGGCCCCTCTGCCGCCACCCGCCTGCCCCTGCCCCTGCCCCTGCCCACGTCCCCGCGCCCGCACCTGTGTCTGCCCCCACCGCAGGCGGCCCGCATGATCCGCGCGGTCAGGCAGATTGCCAGCGGCGCGGCAGAGATGATTGGCAGCCTGGAGCAGAACAACATGGCCATTCGCATGCCAGACGGCGGCGAGGGCGGCACCAAGGGCCTCAAGTTCACGCATGCGGGTGAGGCGGGCTGGAGG